TCTTTCGGCCCTTCTTTTCTTACATAAAAGATGCAAGTAGGCCAATCCTAAATAGGGCTGATTGGACGACTTGGTAGTTGCCTCAGGTTTCTTACAGGCCAATACCTTCTACATATTGGCCTAGGCAACAGTATGTCTGAGAGGAGGCTGCCCTAGACCTACAACCCACTCCGTTTCGACCATTGTGACAGATTCCAAAGGCCAGATCGAATCCAGATGTTTAATGCCCTAATAGCTATTCTTCTGCCAGAAAGTTGATGCTGACTTCATATCCCTCAGACAAGGCGCGATTCTGTCAGGGTGATATCTCTTGGCCTTACTCCTATCAAAGAACGTCCACAACGCAGTAGGTGTTTTTGGTTTAAGGGGCCCTATACTCGCCTTACTCTGGAGGTTGCAATTTTGAGGCATGTCATAGGAGCTACCCTACCACGAGTAGTCGTACCATGTTGCCACTAAGACCTACAGTCGGTTGCAATTAACAGTCGCATCATACCAAAGACCAATTACTCTTAAGTCGTTTGTCTAAATTAATAAATAATTCTACTGAGTTTACATTTTTCTGTCGTCTCAAAAATATTTATTATACTTTCTAAATAATAGTGAAAAATCTGATCAAAACAATAGGAACGTTTTTACAAATTTTAGTGAATAGATTTTCAAGATGCAGGAACAGTTTCAGAGATAAAAAAGACGTATACTAAAATCAGTTTGTCAATAAAAAAAAAAACTATCTCAAACTTTCTTGTGCAGGTGCTGCCATCTGTGGTGGCCTTTAAGATTTTTAAATTGTGTCAAAATGCCGTATCTCTTTGGAATTTAGGCTTGCGATTGCCGAGTTTATAAAATCCGTGGGTAGTTTTGTTGCAAAATTGTAAACATATGTGTGTCAATGTGTTTTTCCGCAAGTGGATAACAGAACCAAAGATGTGCATAAAAAACCCTTTTCTCCCCCTCCCCTCTCCTAAAGTATGTGAAGGCAAAAAGAAGACTTGTAACGTAAATTGGTTACATATTCATTACGATGGCTGAGAAAGAGGAAATCCAGTCTAAAACAACATTATATTCAATAAGAAAAGTTGACGAAAATAGAAGATTTTACAAATTGTTCTACAAAACAATGTATCATAATATGTAAAATGACGTTGAAGCTCCTGCTTATACTGCACATGTTCTTACGTAATTACTGTGAATGATACTGTTCCACTGTCTTATCCTTGTATAATCGCTGTTCCACACTGTTCCACTGTCTTATCCCTGTATAATCGCTGTTCCACTGTCTTATCCTTGTATAATCGCTGTTCCACACTGTTCCACTGTCTTATCCTTGTATAATCGCTGTTCCACTGTCATATCCTGGTATAATCGCTGTTCCACACTGTTATAGTGTCATATCCTGGTATAATCGCTGTTCCACACTGTTATAGTGTCATATCCTTGTATAATCGCTGTTCCACACTGTTATAGTGTCATATCCTGGTATAATCGCTGTTCCACACTGTTATAGTGTCATATCCTGGTATAATCGCTGTTCCACTGTTCCACTGTCATGTCCTTGTATAATCGCTGTTCTACATTGTTATAGTGTTATATCCTGGTATAATCGCTGTTCCACACTGTTCAACTGTCTTATCCTTGTATAATCGCTGTTCCACTGTCTTATCCTTGTATAATCGCTGTTCTACATTGTTATAGTGTCATATCCTGGTATAATCGCTGTTACTGACACTATTAATTAACTATCGTAATATGGTCTTGTAAAAGTCTTAAGTGTTTTCTTTTTAGTTATTATCATTTACACAGTAGACATAACCTGTTTTCTTTCTCATTTACACACTAGACATAACCTGTTTTTTCTCTCATTCACACACACTAGACATAACCTGTTTTCTTTCTCATTCACACACTAGACATAACCTGTTTTTTCTTTCATTCACACACTAACAAAAACCTGTTTTCTCTCTCATTCACACACTAGACATAACCTTTTTTCTCTCTCATTCACACACTAGGCATAACCTTGTTCTCTCTCATTCACACACTAGGCATAACCTTGTTCTATCTCATTCACACTAGACATAACCTGTTTTTTCTCTCTCATTCACACACTAGACATAACCTGTTTTTTCTCTCTCATTCACACACTAGACATAACCTGTTTTTCTCACGTACAATGTCTGTTATATGTTAAGAAAGAAGTATAGCAATATAAGAGCTTATATAATATAGATTTTTTAGAATTCTATCAGTTGTACTTCTATTGTCGGTCAATAAGCAAACAATGCGTGTTATTACCAGTTGTTAATACAATTACCTTTGAACGAGATGTGGTCATCAACAAAGGTAAAAAAAATCGAATTATACTTAATCGTAATTAGCGAGTATCAAAATAATTTTATTACTGAACGTTTAAAAATATTTTTTCTATGAAGCTGTAATAAAAGAAAAGGTTTTGTTTTATGTATCGAGAAATTGTTCTGTTTTTTGCTTTAAATATCAGCTTGAAAATTGACTTCTGATTTTGAAATGCTAAAGAATATGTGTTAAAATAACATTACTTTGAGAAATATATGGCATGATGTGATAAGTATTTCGAGAATACATAATGGAAAGAAAATGACACTTAATATTTTATTATTATTATTATTTTATAATGATAAAATCGAACAAAGGAAAAGTATTCTCATTGATTTCTTTAAAAAAAATAGCCGAGGAGTTCATTTTCGAAAAGTAACACGAAATATAAGAAGAATTTTTACAAGAAAGAAAACTGATAAATACCAAGCAAACAATCAATGTTTTGCTACTACTTTTTGCTACTAATGTATTTATGATTTGAATCGTGAATCTCAGAAGACTATGTTGCCAAATTAACGAGGAATGGTGCACGTTAACCCATAACAGAAATTGATAGGATCTTTAATAATAAAAAACCCAGCTAAAACAAAGCCTATTAGTAATGAGACAACTCTTTACGCCAAAATAACATGTTGTGCAGAAAGAAGCAGCAAAACATCACTCCGTTTCATTTTATTTCTAAAATTTGATTGCATAGTTGATAATTATATTACAGATTTCTCTCTGTTTTTTCACCGCCATTATAAAAGGCCTAACAGTATTTCTTTTGTTTACTGATCCAGGCTGTACTAATGAGCCTTGAATTAGCGAAACAGAGATTGAGGCCAATAAGAGAAAGTATTAGGTCTCTACGTCACAGATTATGTTTTCAATTTTACTTTCGATAAAAAATGAATGAAATGTGAAATATAATTACCAAACAATCGGTTCAATGTAAGACAACGAATAATATGTTAGGCCCAATTGCATAATATTTTTCACACACCTAAGTTAATTTAGGATACTAAATGGTGCGTTTAAAAGGACTTTTAAACCCCCATGACAATTGCATATTCCATAAATTTTCTCTAAAAAAATAACTGTGTTCAAGCGTCCTTCATTTACAATAAGAAAAAATAATACTGTCGATTATGAATATTTGTACAATAGGTCATTCATCTGTCACTATCAATGGAATGCCTTAACATGTGTATACTGAAAGTGAATGGAAAATGTATAACAACCTTTAACATTTATTAGAGTTATTTTGTCTTGTTTTTTCTAGCCCACTCTTCCATATTTGATGTAAACCAACTGCATTTGATGTTTCATTTTCCAAAAATAAAAATAAAAAAATGGAAGGAGAATCTTGACAATCCAATGTTATTTGAAATTTCAATGAAAATAAACACTTATTCTTATTAATATATTTGTTGTTTTTGTTCTCCTAGATTCGACCAGTCTCGTCAACAGAATTTTGTTTTCCAGGCGCCCTCTATTTTAGTATATAAGCCCGGCAAATAATTGCACATAGACAGATATATAGAAAGAGATAATTGAGTCAAGTGAGCGGTAGTGACTTTAAGTAAAGTGCGTGAATCGTTGTGAATTATAGCGTGTGTTTATAAAAGTAGTTAACTTTAAAGTGACTGTGGAAATTAAGTGTATTACAAAGTTAGTAACGAGAAAGAATAAACTAGTTTTAATTAAGAAAGAACTCGTATCGCCGAAGTTTCTCGGGAAAAATTTATACCGGAAATTAACAAACGACCAGAGACGCAACAGTTGACTCAAAAAATGATTAGAACTGTTTGTTAAAATCCATCGTTTTTCTGTTCTAAGTTTACCCAATCATAGAACATCAGTGCAGCACCAACGGCTGGCGTCAAGTATTCATATGAACTATCAAATAACTTTCATTCACTTTAATTGCTAAAATTGTTCAATAACTTCTCATAACGAAAACTGTTTTTGCTCTCAATATATTTATTAAATTATATGTTCTCTTCTGTTTTTACGAAGGAATATACAAGTATCATGCCTCAAGCAGATCACTTAATGTATGGGACAAATCTTGATGTCAAAGATATAATTTTAAGTTCTGAAATTGTAAGAGACCTAAAAATTGATAAGTCCCCTGGACCAGACAACTTTTATCCTAGAGTTTTAAAGGAACTTAATGATTTTATTTGTGAACCGCTAGCTAATATTTTTTATATGTCATTGAGTAGTGGAAGAGTATTAGAAGATTGGCTAATTTTAGTCCAATATTTAAAGGAGGTGATAAATATTGTGGGTAAAAAATTTTCGGCCCTACTCCACCTCTTCCAAGTTTAAAAATATAGTAGGCGCGAGTTGGCCCTGTATATTTCAAGAGGGATATAATCAAAAACTGCCGTTTTCACTTAAAAAATAAATTTTAATGTTTTACATATTTGCATGAGTATATCTCTTTTTAAAAAATCACATCTGCAATTGGAGGAATTAAAGTAACATGTATATATATATATATTTGGAATGGGCCAATTAAATCTGATAAGGGCCATTTTAAATCCTTAGAAAACAAGCTAGTAATTTTTTGTCCAGGACCGGCTAGGAATTTTTTTTCATTTACAGTATGGTTTCATTATACGCCCGCAGATGGCGCAGTGAATTATCTCGCGAATATTTTGTTTTGATTCAGAGATTAAGACTCAGAGTTATGTTTAGTACAGTTGTAATGTACTAAACATAATATACATTTGCATGTGTAACAAATGCTAAGTTTCTAATTCGTTGTTTGCTATGATATAAGATGTTTTGTATAGCAAACTCTAATTGGTAAGAAGATAAAAAATGTCGTATCGAGATCTTCGAAGTAAGTGTAGAACGTCGACTTCGTCGTGTTAATGACTGGCTTTGGCTTATTGATAGTCTTAATCTTACCGTTTTAGAACAGTTGAATTATTTAACGTTAAGCCTAGTTACATTCTTATGTCAAAAACGTACAGAGAAAAAGCCAATTCACATGAGTCTAGCATATTATTAAGTATGTTAAGTGTCGTGTTTTACGTCTTCAACAAATACTTTAAAATTATATATTAGTTATTACTAGAAGTTGAATAACAATTGTAACATTATTGTCTAACTCTAGCTAATGAAATTATATAGATTGAAAATTACATTTTCCTTTCAAATTGTGATGTCCCCTGGTCGCATAGCGAGCGGTATGTTTACGGACATAAAAGCTCAGATTCAGGGCTCGATTCTCTATGGTATTGGTAGCCAATGTGGCTTAGCTTTGAAATAAATAAACAAATTCTAATTCTGAAATGCGAAAAACTAATGAGTTTGAAAAGTCAAATCAGAATGTTTCATTTAATATATGTAATATATTTCAAACCTGTTTTATATGCATTCACATATTTTAATTTTAACTTCTTTTTGCCAGTTTTCTTTGCCCTTTCAAGCAGTTATAATAGCTGATATGGCCAAATGCAAAGATGGCATAACACAGTGGCCTTGTTGATGAAATGAAATTTGATACTGATATGGTCAATTGTAAAATGATTTAACAAAACCTAAATCATCTTGTTCCACAAAAAACTTTTTCTATCATAGTTTAATGTCATAATTCAAATGGAGTATAAATGATAAAACAGGCATTTTAGAAGCTTGAAAACATCAGGGCTGTAAATAGAGCACAAGTTGTTCACAAACTCCTTTTTTTTAGCAATATATCACCAAACTAAGCTTTTACCACTTTGATCAGATCTCAGTGCAGTTCTGGAAGTCTTATTGGTTTTTACAGTTCAAAAGAAAAATATCTTTCATAATATGCTTAGATCAGTAACCTATCACTTCTCCAAGATATTGGCAGTAGCATCACACCACAGCAGCCGAGCTTAAGAAACAGTTATTGGTTAGAAGTTGACAAAATTGCACTTGTTTTCATGTTGGAATGATAAATTATCATATTTTGTGCAAAGCTAATATGAATCTCATCCATATTATGCTTGGAAAAATTTCCAGAAACTTCTCAGACACTAATGATTTCATTAGCAGTGCGCTGAAAACAATCGAGAATCAAAATTTGCAATTTTAAGAATTTTTATGCATAGATTTCAATTTTTTATGTTATTTCTTTCTTTTTATGTGTGAAAAAAGAACATTTTGTTTATTTTCTATACTTTTTTTTTGTTTGTTAATTAAGTGCTACAAAGATGGACTGCAACCATCGAGGCATGAAAAATTAAATCATAATAGTACATTTGTAAACTTATGGTAGATATTCTCATATGTTTTATTTTAAACTATTGTTCAAAACATTATGCCCAAACAAGAAGTAATTAGATGGTAAGAAAAATCAGTAATGAACTAGATTAAAAGTTTCTTGTTTGGGATTTTAAATCTGTGTAGCTCAATTGGCAAAATTTCAATTTCAAAAGACACAGTTTTGAGCTGCGGTTCAAATGCTAGTCAGGGCAGAATGTCATTATTACTTGAGGTTATTGTAATTACTGATCTAGAATAGAAACATTAATCGTTTTGTGTTGACGCAGATGCAATTGAAGTTGGTAAAGGAATGAAAATGTGAAATATTTCTACTGTTACGTTTAGCGAAGGTATTTCAGTGCACTCATTATGTTCTAATGTATAGTTTTATAATTGTACAGTGATAGTACAAGTCATTAGTTCTTTTAATGTGGAATTAACAGTGTGGGTTAAACTAGTGGAATGAGTTTTCTATGGACTTCTTGCAAAATTTTCTTGATTACGAGATGGCATTTAAGGTTCTATGTCGAGGATTCAGCAGTGAGCCCAAAACTTCATGTTATAATAAAGAACAATGTTAGGTAAAGTCCACAGAAAACTCAGTCAACATTCCTCTTAATTGGATCATACAGTTGGTGGAATTTAATCCAGAGTAAATGAGTCTGGTCCTTGTAATTAAAATGGAAATACGTAAGGAGCTAGTCGGAGATTTGCCATTTTATAGCATAGTTGATGAAACGACAGCTGAGAGTTAATTAAAATGTACAAATCATGAACCTTTTATACAATGTGGTGGTGAAAATGATAGGTTTGCTATTACCTGTATTTACCACACTATGATTTTATTATACTCCTGCAACAGTAGAAAAGTTCATGTTTTATATCTTTTTTTTTTTTTTGCAGATTTTACTGAAATGATGAGAGCCTTAGGCTATACGAGGCTGATATCAATGGAGAATTTCCGTAATTCCAATTTTCCTCTCGTGGCTGAAATTCTCAAGTGGTTAGTAAAAAGGTGAGCTGAATTATACATACACATTTTACATTTAGAAGCCAGTAATTTTCTTCTATAATACTGTCCTAATTCTAAGAGAGATGTCTTATATTGTACAATATCATCAACAAAATTATATAAGCTGTTAAAGATATCGTGTAAGTGAAAAAAAAAATCTTTTCTTATAAGAGGTTTGTCTTAATGATTTTAAATCTAAATAATAAAGTATATATACCAAAGGAAAAATAAAAACACATAATAAAATACTTTAATTATAGTGACCAAAATTGCATACACTCAAACACTTGAATGTTGCCAGCTACACGGGTCCAGTATTCTTTTATTTCACTGGTCTGTTCCATGTTGTTAAAATCACACAATGGCAAGAAAGGATTAACGTACAGTGAATTATTTTGACAGCAGATGTTTTTGTCTTCTTAATTTGTCCATTAAAGAATCAAAATCAGGGCCATGTAAAAACAGCATTTCAGATCTATCTTTTAGAAATGAATAAAAACCCTATAATTCGAGCAATTTCGTAAAGGTGGACCTTTCTTCTTCAGTTTGCCCCTGAAGAAGAAAGGTCCATGTTTCGAAAGTGCTCGGGTTATAGGGTTTTTATTCATTTCTATCAAGATTTCTTGAATCTACGTGATTTTCTAACGTCTCTTGTCACCCACTGCCCAAGAGCACTTTTGTCCATTACCAGAGCTCATCATTTGAGCTGGATGGTAAGAGACAAAAGATTTTTTAAAACTTTGCCAAAACCTGGTGAGGCATTAGAAACCAACAGGCTTAAATTTGTGATAACAAGTTACTTAAACTGCAGATGTTTTCTTCACATTCCTCTTAATTTGTTAATCGTAGATTCAAAATCAGTGGCATGATTTTTATCACAGATTTTAATTGTATAGGTTTCTCATGCTTTGCCAGTTTTTCAGTATTTAAATTGTAACTTGCAATAAAGTAATTTCCATCTGTATGAAGATTTATTTGAGAAAATTTACTTTTATGTATAAAATATGTTGTTTATCAATTTTTTAGTATTATATTATTCTCGATAAAGCCTAGTGTTTATGAATTTTTGTGTACATGTGTATATTTAAATCAAACTATGGTTAGAACTTGGGGACCAGCTTGAAGGTAACATATGAATGAATGTGTGATTTAGATGACTGTATATTCATCAATCAGTATTTTTCAAAAATTGTAATGCGTTTTTTTGCTAATGTATGTACAGTCCAACTAGTGAAAATATGTGAAAAAAAAGTGTGTGAAATAACAGGTTGAACGTATAGTTTACAGGCCCACCAAAAGTAATAAGACTTTAGAACAGAGATATATATAGAATAAAAGTACTTCCAGAAAGTAGTTTGTTCCTGGCAGTTATTTTGATTTAAAAATAATTATCTCCTAGGAAATAATTACTAATCAAGGGTGCTCGAAGATTAGCAATCCTCATTCACCCTGCTCGAGGCATAAGGTTAGGTTTCAATTAATGGTCAGCGGATTAATGAGCCGTATGGGCAAAAAAAAAATAACAAAATTTACATATATATATATATATATTCCCGTATATATACGTATGATGATGAGGCAAGTAGGCAGAAGTGAAGGCAAGTCCAAGGCTTAGCAGAAGGCCGGTTGATCTTGAAGAAGAAGTAAGTCGGCAGACGTTTTTTGACAAGTTGTCGAAACAACTCCAAAAAGCAGTCTTTATCCACTGTAAATTTAAACACAAATAGAATGAGTCATTTCAGAGTACATTTAAACATGAATAGAATGAGTCAGTTCAGAGTACATTTAAACACGAATAGAATGAGTCAGTTCAGATTAAATTTAAACATGAATAGAATGAGTCAGTTCAGAGTACATTTAAACACGAATAGAATGAGTCAGTTCAGAGTACATTTAAACGTGAATAGAATGAGTCAGTTCAGAGTAAATTTAAACACGAATAGAATGAGTCAGTTAAGAGTACATTTAAACATGAATAGAATGAGTCAGTTCAGAGTAAATTTAAACACGAATAGAATGAGTCAGTTAAGAGTAAATTTAAACACGAATAGAATGAGTCAGTTAAGAGTACATTTAAACATGAATAGAATGAGTCAGTTCAGAGTACATTTAAACATGAATAGAATGAGTCAGTTCAGAGTACATTTAAACATGAATAGAATGAGTCAGTTCAGAGTACATTTAAACACGAATAGAATGAGTCAGTTCAGAGTACATTTAAACACGAATAGAATGAGTTAGTTCAGAGTACATTTAAACATGAATAGAATGAGTTAGTTCAGAGTACATTTAAACATGAATAGAATGAGTCAGTTCAGAGTACATTTAAACATGAATAGAATGAGTCAGTTCAGAGTACATTTAAACATGAATAGAATGAGTCAGTTAAGAGTACATTTAAACACGAATAAAATGAGTCAGTTCTGAGTAAATTTAAACACGAATAGAATGAGTCAGTTCAGAGTACGTTTAAACATGAATAGAATGAGTCAGTTCAGAGTAAATTTAAACACGAATAGAATGAGTCAATTCAGAGTACATTTAAACACGAATAGAATGAGTCAGTTCAGAGTACATTTAAACGTGAATAGAATGAGTCAGTTCAGAGTAAATTTAAACGTGAATAGAATGAGTCAGTTCAGAGTAAATTTAAACGTGAATAGAATGAGTCAGTTCAGAGTAAATTTAAACACGAATAGATTGAGTCAGTTCAGAGTACATTTAAACACGAATAGAATGAGTCAGTTCAGAGTACGTTTAAACATGAATAGAATGAGTCAGTTCTGAGTAAATTTAAACACGAATAGAATGAGTCAGTTCAGAGTACATTTAAACACGAATAGAATGAGTCAGTTCAGAGTAAATTTAAACACGAATAGAATGAGTCAGTTCAGAGTACATTTAAACATGAATAGAATGAGTCAGTTCAGAGTAAATTTAAACGTGAATAGAATGAGTCAGTTCAGAGTACATTTAAACACGAATAGAATGAGTCAGTTCAGAGTACATTTAAACACGAATAGAATGAGTCAGTTCAGAGAAATTTATTTCTCAGTGTAAAAATGCTGCTACTAAAATTTCCTATATTGATTACGAAGAAACAAAACTTGAAATTTATTATGCGTGTTAGGGTTTTGTTATTTTTGGATTACCCTTCATATTCTTATTTCTCTCTCTCTCTCCCCAGGTATGACCCTAATTCTGACACTCCTACTGACGTGGACACAGAACAAGACCGTGTTATATTTATAAAGTATATTGCACAGTTTATGGTGAGTAGGAACTAAACACTATACTATTAAAATTCTGTGTATGTACTCTAGCACGCAAGTAAACCCAAACTGTTGTGTACACAAATGTATCTAATGTTATTAAATTTCAGGTAACTAAAGCTCATATCAAACTGAACCCCAAGAGGCTGTACATGGCAGATGGATATGCTGTCAAGGAATTACTTAAAATCTCCACCATCCTCTACGATGCCATGAGAACTAATGAATCGGGTGAAGGAGATGGTCCTGAAGAAGATACTTCTAATTTTGATATAGATTTATCATCAAAGGTACCTTTTCCTGTATAAGTCATGCAAAATATGACATCTCTTGTAAAGGGTGAGATTATAATGTATCTTGTTTTGTGGTATGATTGTGCAGAAAAATGGGGTTATTGACAGTAAAAGTAGAGAGCATCATGTGTTGTTACGGAGAGTTAACACTAGATGCTGGATAGAAGTGAGACATCATGTGTTTTTACAGAGAGTTAACACTAGATGTTGGGTATAAATGAGACATCACGTGTTTCTCACGGAGAGTTAACATTAGATGTTGGATAGAAATGAGACATCACATGTTTCTCACGGAGAGTTAACATTAGATGTTGGGTATAAATGAGACATCACGTGTTTTTACAGAGAGTTAACACTAGATGTTGGGTGTAAATGAGACATCACGTGTTTCTCACGGAAAGTTAACATTAGATGTTGGATAGAAATGAGACATCATGCGTTGTTACAGTTTGTTTGTTATTTAAAGCAAAATCGCATTGGTTTATCTGCTGTATCCACTTTGGGGAATTGAACCTTGGATTTTTGTATTGCAAGTCCATAAGCTGTTCTACTAGAGGACACTGTTACAGAGAGTTAACAGTACTCCAGATGGTGGATGGAAATCATACTTCATGTTGTTGCACAAAATTCTTTCAAACAGTACAAATATAAGTAACAGAATAGGAAAGGTGTAGTGTAATATGTGGAACTAGCCTGAGTTTAATTTTGAGTTTATAGCATAGATTTTCTCAGTTTAGATTAGACTTCCTCAGTTTAGATTAGACTTCCTCAGTTTAGATTAGACTTCCTCAGTTTAGATTAAACTTCCTCAGTTTAGATTAGACTTCCTCAGTTTAGATTAGACTCTCTTAGTTTAGATTAGACTCTCTTAGTTTAGCCTAGTCTCTCTCAGTTTAGCCTAGTCTCTCTCAGTTTAGCTTGGGCTCTCTCAGTTTAGCTTGGGCTCTCTCAGTTTAGCTTATACTCTCTCAGTTTAGCTTAGGCTCTCTCAGTTTAGCTTAAACTCTCTCAGGTTAACATAGACTCTCTCAGTTTAGCTTAGGCTCTCTCAGTTTAGCTTAGGCTCTCTCAGTGTAGCATATACTCTCTCAGTTTAGCTTAGGCTCTCTCAGTGTAGCTTATACTCTCTCAATTTAGCTTGGGCTCTCTCAGTTTAGCTTAGGATCTCTCAGTTTAGCTTGGACTCTCTCAGTTTAGCTTGGACTCTCTCAATTTAGCTTTGACTCTCTCAGTTTAGCTTGGACTCTCTCAGTTTAGCTTAGGATCTCTCAGTTTAGCTTAGGCTCTCTCAGTTTAGCTTGGACTCTCTCAGGTTAACATAGACTCTCTTAGTTTGGTTCGTGTATGTATCTGAGTGGAGTGTTTTGAAGTGTATTTTTGGTATGTAAATAATACATTTGTTATCAAGCATCTTATAGATTCATTACGTTCTTGAGAATTTTTTTTATGTTTATTGTGTGTACCAATGTACTGTATGAGTAATATAGCTGCATTTATTTTTTAGCTTAGTGATTTGAAAAGGACAAGACAATTGGCTTCTGAAATCACAACGAAGGGAGCTTCATTATATGATCTTCTGGCACGAGAAGTTGACCTGAGAGTAAGCCTTTCATAAATTAAATATTTAGTTGTTTGAAGAATTAGTATTTTCTGATGATGTTCGTAATGACTATTACAATATGTGAGTATTTTCAGTGTCTTACAGTGTTCCTGTCAGGATCTGTGCTACTTACTAAAATACCATTTCTGTATGAATTCTTAGAGATTTCCTTCAAAATTATATTGCAGAGAGAATAGTTTCTATTTATTCTCACTATCAGACTATCATTTAAATGTCTTCATCTTAAATTCATCACTTAAGATGGTTTTTCTACAAAGCTTGTGTTTCACAAACCTAGTCAAAACACTGAATCAAATGAATGTTTTTGTTTTACCTGACATCATCAACTGTTACATGTACTGTGTGTTTCTCTGACATCATCAACTGTTACATGTACTGTGTGTTTCTCTGACGTCATCAACTGAATTGTTTCATCACTGTTACATGTACTGTGTGTTTCTCTGACGTCATCAACTGAATTGTTTCACCAATGTTACATGTACTGTGTGTTTCTCTGACATCATCAACTGAATTGTTTCACCAATGTTACATGTACTGTGTGTTTCTCTGACATCGTCAACTGTTACATGTACTGTGTGTTTCTCTGACATCATCAACTGTTACATGTACTGTGTGTTTCTCTGACATAATCAACTGAATTGTTTCACCACTGTTACATGTACTGTGTGTTTTTGCTACTGTTTACTGAATCATTTCACCACTGTTACATGTATTCTGTATTTCACTGACATCATCAATTTAACAATTTTCTGTTATATGTATCTGTGTGTCTCTGACATCATTAGCTGGATTATTTCACTTGTGTTACATGTATTCTTGTGTTTCTTCCATTATCTGCTGGATCATTTCACCACTGTTACATGTGTACTGTGTTTCTTTGACATCATCAACTGGACCATTTTTTGTACATTGTGGCACGATGAAGGCTCTGGTAAGAGGGCTGAAAGCTTGCGAATAAAAGTATTTTAATGTAGAGAAAAGTCCATGTATAATTCTACATAGACTATCAAAGTTAACAGTATGTTTGTCTGCTAGCTCCAACAGTTTACAAGTCCTTTTTTGTAGTTAAACTGAGTTTCTGTCATTTGATGTGGCAGATATCTTCTTGTGGTCTAATTTATCATTTTTTGATATTTTTTCAGGTAATACTAAGACGTTTCTACCTGTTATTATCTCGAGTATGTGTAGAGTAATTTGATCTTTGATCAAAAATATTGTGGGAATTACTAAGATTGGGTTAGAACTAAACTATTGTGTTGTATTTTTTTTTTTCTACTTCTATCGTAGAACTCTATTAATAAATATTATTATTACTTAGGAATGTTAATTACAGTGTTTAGTATCAAATGGAATAACTGATTAATTAAAAGTATGAGGAGATATATTAATGTCACAAAGAAAAGTCATCTAATTGAAATTAGTGTTTCTGGTTGTCACTATTTTGGATTTTTATTAGGTCTTAAGGTTTATAAAGCAACGTTTTTCTTGTGTCTGTTTTTTCTTTTCGCATGTTGCTTATCTATCATGCAAAGTAATATTCATTTTAAGATTAAAAATACTTTTAT